AATGCACTCTAAGTTGAGAGAGCAGCATATTCAAAGACATGAAACTAAGAGAGAGCCTGGATTGTACAGGAAACTGCAAGTGGTTTATAATTAATGGGTTTATAATTAAGGATAGTGGTTCTGAAGTTGAGAGAAGGCAGAGTGGGCTGGGATATAGAGAAATAGAGTCTTGGTGTGAAAGAAGGCTGGGATGACAAAGGAGACTGGAGATCACAAGGGGGTCTGGAGACCTTATAGGACTTACATACTTTGTAAAAAAGTTTGTAATTCTGAAATTGGCCATAATTTGAAATAAGATGTGGATTCCAGTTTTTACTCCACTGTTTACTAGCTTTATGACCTTGAGTAAGCTGCTTAAACTTTCTGAGCTTCAGGTTTTTTAAATCTGTAAAATGGGGAGACTGATTCTAACTTCGAAAGGTTATTTTGGAGATTAGATGATATAACAGCATCTGACACATAGTAGATGGTCAAATGATAGTAATTGTCGTGTTATTTCTAAAAAATTTTGAATGCTTATTTTTTTCTCATCTGATGTTTTTTAAAAAACTTTGTATTGAAGTATAACATATACAGATAGTTCACAAATCATAACCGTACCATTCTATGAAGTATCACAAAGTGAACATTACCAAGGGTAAGAAATAGAACATTGCTGTCACCCTGTACATCCTTATGCCTCCTTCCATTCACTGCCCCGGCTCCTACCGAAAAGTAACTATTATCCTGACTTTTAATATCACAAATTAATTCTGCCTCTTTTTGAACTTTATATAAATAGTATCACATGGTATGTCTTCTTTAATGTCTGGTTTCTTTCGCTCAACACAATGTAAGATTCATTTATATTGTTGCATGTAGCTATAGTTCATTTATTTATATTTCTGTATGCAATATTCTGTTGTCTGACTATGCCATAGTTTAGTTTTCTGTCCTACTGTTGGTAGGTATTTAGTTGTTTCCAGATTTTTTGCTATTATGAATAATGCTCTATGAACATTCTCTTGTGTATTCTCATGTATTTCTGTTGGGTATATATCTAGGAGTAAAATTGCTGCATCATAATGCATGTGTATGTTCTAATACAGTAGTTACTATTGAAGAATTTTCCAAAGGGTTGTACCAATTTACACACTCACAGTCAGTGTAGGTGAGTTGCAGTTTCTTCACATTCTTATCAATACTCAGTACTGTCAGTCGTTTTTGTTTTAGTTATTCTATTCTAGTTGTTGTTTAGTGCTATCTCATTTCTCTACAATTCTTTGGTGACTAATGAGGATGAGCACCTTATATGTCTACTGGCCATTTAGATATCTTCTTTTGTAAAGTCTGTTCAGGCTTATGTTCTTTTTTTTCTATTGAATTATTTGTCATTTTCTTAGAGGAATTTTTTTAAAAATAATTCTGGATACAAGTTCTTTGTCCTTTATGTGTATTGCAAATACTTTTTCATACTCTGTGGTTTGCTTTTTCAGTGGCTTTTGAGAAACAGAAACTCTTCACTTTAATATAGTTCTTTGAACAATTATCAATATTTTCTCTTATTCTTTTTATGACTGTTTAGTGAAAGCAATCCCAATATACTTTAAATTTATTCATGATTGAGAGGATTTGTTGCTGGCTGGTCTTTTTCAGGTTTACTAGTCTCATTATGGGATAGTCCTTTTGACTAAGGGTCGGAAGTGGGGGTGTTTGTTAGAATCGCTTTTTCTTGGGGGCCTCAGACTCTGTTTTCTTTTTCTCCCAGCCCTATGAGCCTGTCAAAAGCTCTGCTCAGTTTCTGCGACTCTTCACCTATCTTGACGATGATCGATAAATACCTCAGGGGAAAAACATGCCCAAATATCAGGTCCCATTCTAGACGCCTGTCCTTTCCCAGATGGGGTGACTGTAATTCCTCACTGCCTTGGTATCTCTCTTATGTCTCTGAGGAGATTTTTAAGTATTTCATCCAGCAATTCTAGCCGTTCTTAGATAGAGAGTTGGTCTGTAACTACCTTTTTGCTACCTACTGAAAGTGGAACTCTTGATAGTCTAAGAGAAGTGAATAGTTCATGTGCCATTACATTGAGAATTAGTCTTTTAAGGAACAGCAGCTCGCTAGCTTGTAAGAAAGCCTTTCTTCTGTAACAGGGCACTAATATTTGCCTAGCTATCATGGTCTTGTTAGCAGTAAGGCCCTAAATCAGATGAGGGAGTTACAGTATTTGGGGTGATTCATATTTAGTTAATCATATTATTAGTTTCAAAAAATTGAAATTCAGATGAAGTAATAAATTACTTTATTGATATTTATTTTTTACAAAACAGGATCGTGAACTTCCAAGACTAATCAGAGGCCGAGTTCATAGGTGTGTTGGAAACTACGACCAGAAAAAGAATATTTTCAAATGTGTTTCTGTCAGACCAGCATCTGTTTCTGAACAAAAAACTTTTCAAGCATTTGTTAAAATTGTAGATGCTGAGATGAAGTATTATACTAATGTAATAAATGAGATTTAAATAGTGATAAAGAAAATTTAACTAGTATAACTTAAAGCACTTCTCTGTTATTGTTTAAATTACCATCTCCATGGTTTTATAGCTCCTGCTTTTCTCTATTTCATTTGTTCAATTAAAATATTTAAATCCTTTAAAATGTGTAAAGAGTTTTTGAAAATAATTTTACTGTTTTTATAAAAATGGTATATTTACTAAAATTCAACAACCATTTTAGATAAAAATGCTCAGTATAATAGGAATAGATGCTTATTTAACACGAGATTATAATACATCTGAGTCAGCCCAAAAGCCAACATCAGTCTTAATAGAAGAAATATAGAGACATTCCTACTAAAGTCATGAACAAGAAGACAAGGGTATCCACTATTAGTGCTGTTACTAAGCATTATTCTGGAGCTGCTAGTCTATGAAGTTCATTTAATTACTTCAAATATTTAGTGAGCACATACTCTGTGCCAAGCAGACTGGAAATAAAACACATAATGAAAAAATAAAAATCTCTGAATTTAATGGAATTTATGTTCTGAGACCTAGGAAATATATTAGATAAAAGAGAAAATTTTGAGATATTAGACTTATTGCTATTGGCAGATAATATAATTGTATGTATGGAAAACCTAAGAAAATCAACTGAGAAACTACTGCAGAAATGAGATGATTTGGTAAGGCACTAGAATAGAACACTTAATTTGTAGTAATCTTCTGTAGATGGTATTTATGACCCACAACTATTAGAGTGTAAAATGTATAAAGATACCATTTAAGAGAGAAAAAATATCCAAGACTAATTAAGACTAAATGATAAATGTGAAAAGTACATGAACAAAACTTTAAAATACTAATGAAGTACAGAAAAGAAGATGGACAAATGGAAAAATAAATCATTTTCTTGAATAGGAAGACAAAGATGCGGATTTTCCTCTAATTGGTAACATGTAATTTCTGTGTGTGAAAACACACACACACACACGCACACACACATCAAGCTGATACCAAAGGTTATATAAAAAGTAGAATAGAAAAATTCCAAAAAACTATAGAGGATAGTTTTACTGGATATTATAAAGCATTAAATATATTAGTCATCTATTGCTACATAGCCACCCCCCTTCCCCAAATTAGTGACATAAAAAATAAGCATTTATTATCTCTCACAGTTTCAGTGGTCCAGGATTTCAGGAATGGCTTGGCTGGGCAGTTCTGGCATGCAGTTTCTTAGGAGGACCCACTTGCAGGTAGCTCATGTACATGACTGCCTAGTGGGTGCTTTCTGTTGGCAGAAGGCCTCAGCTTCTTACTATGTGGGCCTTTCCAAAGGGCCGCATGAGTGTGCTCATGACATGGTAGCTGGCTTCCCCTAGAGTGAGTAATAGTTATCCAGGTGGAAGCTTTTTTATGAACTAGCCTTGGAAGTCACATAACATCACTTCTACTACATTTTTTTTTTATTATTATTAGCAGTGAGTCATTAAGTGTGGACCACATTTAGGAAGAGGGGGATTAGGCTCCACCATTTGAAGAAAAGTGTGTCAAAGAAATGGCAGACATTTTAAAACCACATATTATGAAGGCATATGTTTTCATGCAAACTATGGTACTGGTTCATGAATAGGTCAATAGAATTTAAAGTACGAAAATAGACTCCAGTACATAGAGAACTTAGTGATAAAAGTAGCATCTGAAATCGGTGGGAAAGAGAGACTATTCAATAATTTGGTGTTGGGACCACTGGGAAGCATCTAGGAAAACTTAGACTTAAATTTTATACTAATGTTTTGAATATATTTTTCTTATTTTATATCCCTATTTTTTGTATTTAGTTTTTTCATCAATTTAGAAGTTACTTTTGTATAGTTTAAAAGGTATACGGGTTTAATTTTATTTTTATTTTTATTTCCCAAATAGGTGGCTAATTATCCTAGCATCATCTCTGAATAGTACATCATTTACCTGTTGATTTGAAATACCATGTTTATTATAAAATAAAACATACAAGCATGGATCTATTTTTAAACTTAGTGATTGATTTCTTAGGTATTCTTATAGATGTTTCCACAAAATCTGTTTTTTAAAAAATCATGTTGGAGTTTTGATTAGGAGTGCATCAAACTTATAAATTACTCTCGGGAGAGTGGACATATTTATAACAGTAAAGCTTCCCATTAAGTAATGTGTCATACCTATTTAGAGCTCGTGTCTTTAGTAAAGTTTTATAAATTTGTTCATAAAAATCTTGCACATTTCTTGTGTATGTATATATAAATTCTCACTTAATTCTCTATTTTCTTAGACCTGTCTTTCTGAAACATCTGCACTCTGGCCTTTCTATATCCTCTTCCTGTCCTCATTCTTTAGATCTCTTTTGCTCACCATTCTATGAATCAATCAAGAGGAGGGGTTATAGTCTCCAGCTTCAAAAACAAAGTGGAGGAATCCCTCGGAAGATACATGAAAGGAGGATGTGGAGGATGATAGCAAGTTTTTTCTAGCTTACGGTTACCGCCTGTAGCAAGATTCAGTTGTGAAGCCAGAGGGGAGATATATCCAGAAAGACTGGTGTAAACTCCTATAGAATACAGTATATGCTTTGAACCAAGGACCTATATATAGTGCTTTTCCCCCCAGAGCCATTATTCATAAGTTTGGAAATCAAGTGGTGGTAGCAGGACTGTCTTCTGCTATTAGTAGACCAAATGTACTCACAGAATTTTTGTTTCTCACTCTCACAATTTTGTATTCTGCTGGTTAAGAGATCGTATTTTCTGTCATAGCCTGGGTTGCCTAAAAAGGAGAGGCAGAGAAAGTCTTATTTGCTAGTAGTTTATTTGGGAATATTATCTCATAAAGAGAAATGATGGATAGAGGAGGTAAATAAGGAAGAAGTTGGAAAGCCAATAGTGGGGTGGCTAATTGAATTGACCACCACTAGGAGTGAATAAGCCTTGAAAGGCATCACAGGATCATTCACCTTACTGAAAACGGGAAGCATATATTCATCAGCTCCTAGCACCTGTGTTTAAGGGTTGGCCCATGGGTCACTAACTCCTCTACACTTTCAGGTTGTGTGCATATGAGTGTTAAACTGACTTCCCATGATGTTCCACTCCAGATAATCAGAGAAACTCCATGGCAGGACACAGGAAGCAGGTAGAGCAGGCCCGATGTAATATGGTCAGATTGTATCTATGTGAAACTGGTTGAAGTCTGTTCAGAACTTGTTACTGCCGCTGTGGCTGGAATAAAAAATTATGTCTGAGAGAATCCGAACAAGAAGTACACAAGTCTCCAAGGGAGGAATACTACCAGGATTGCTTGGCCACTTGGCCATTTTGGGTCCCTCAACCAACAGGCAAACAAAGGAGTTACCATACTATCTGGGCTAATCAAATTAACAGTAGAAAATTGGATTTCTTTATACAATAAGGAAAGACCATGCTGGATACCCAAGAGATTCTTTGGGGGTGCCACTTAGTAAAAGTTACTAGACAACTATAGCAACCCAATAAAGGCAATAACACAGGATTCAGACTCCCAAGGAATGAAGATTGAATGTAAAAAACCCCATTCTGATGAAGTGATGACAAATAGATATGGAAGAGGTTGACATTAGCTATCGCCTTGTGATCAATTGCAGGGTAAGGAAGAGCAAGAAACGAGGTAATCTAACATGTATGGAGAGTAGTAGAGATAAAAGTGGTGGCTGAGTGCCATTAAGTTTTTCCTAGAGAGATAAGAAGTTAAATGTACCTCAATGGGTCGCAAATCTGGATTTCTTTTCTGTCTTGGCCTGAGGAAGAACTGAACATGATCTTGGAGAGTTTATTTTTTTCTCTTACTCTTGTCTTTTCCTTATATCTGCATGTGTTTGGGTCAAGAAATCGAATCCTTGTTAACTGCAGGCTTATCGCTCTCCTGGGGTATGTTTATGGGGAACTGGGGTGTAGTGAGAGGTTCTGCCCCCTGGGAATCTTTCTAAAATATGTATCTTTCATGGTGGTACTCTGCTCAAAAACCCATAATGGCTTCTTGTTGCCCAGAGAATGAAGCCTGCATTTGAAGATATTTTAGTCTATTCACAGTCTGGTCCCTGCTTACTTTTTATGGCTTGCCCAACCATCCTATTTTATCTTCCAAAATGTAGGTTCCAGCCCTAGAGGACTACTGTCAATTAAACAGGCAGTGTTTAAGCATCCATACATGAGCTGCTCTCCATCCCCACCTTCCCCCAAAGTGTAGTCAAGTATGATCAGGACCTATAATCAGTCACTGCTTCTGGATTTAGAGCATTTGTCCTGAGAGGTTCTGGGTAATTATTTTGTCTTTAATGAGTTCTTTCAGGATCTAGACTCCTCTGGGATTCAGAGTCCATTAGGACCATGAAGGTGTAGAATGGGAGATGTGATAAGGGACGTTGCAGTCACAGGTGACAACTACAGAGGCTGTTACTTCATGTGACTTAGTGAATAAAGGGGGGCAGGATCTCAAGCCAAGGTCCTGGAATCGCCCTCAGACACACTGAATAAGTTGGAAAGAGGATGAGTGAGCTGGTCTCCTAGGGCTCTTCCAACTGGAGGGTCTCGTGTGATGTTCTGCAAAATAGTTTTTCAGGTATAATAAACCTTCTCTTCAGCTCTCAGCCTCCCAAGATTTCCCCAGATTCTGGAAATATTTTGACTGATGTTCACCAGTTAAATTAGTTTTTTAAATGATATCTTTCATAAATATTATTTTAAAAATTAGTTTTTTAAGTGATATCTCTCATAAATATTACTATGTATTATTATTATTATTATTATTATTTAAGGTTGTATCATTTCAGGACATCTCTGTGGGGCAATTATTATTATTATTATTATTATTATTATTTAAAGTTGTATCATTTCAGGACATCTCTGTGGGGAAGGCATTAATATAGAGGTTCTTAAACCTTCACAATATATTTGAATCACATAAGGATTTTTAAAATACTTAGGATGGGCTCTCCCTCTCCATAGATTCTGATTACATTTATCGGGGGAGGGTACAATCATCTATATTTTAAAATGTATGTTTTTACTACTCCAAGTGTGGTCCACAGACCAGCAGAATTGGCATCACCAAATGTAAAATTTGTGCTCATAAAATGTAGAATTTTAGGCACCACAATAGGCCAACTAAATCATAATCAGCATTTAACAAGATCCCTAGGGAGTTCATATGTAAATTAAATTTTCAGAAGCACTGTGCTTTGTGATTCTTATGTGTAGTTCACACTCAGAACTACTGATTCACCAGGTTAGAAAATAAGAGGCATCATGGAGCAGCTGAAGCTCATGAGCTTGATCAGTGGCAGCATCTCTAAGTGCTACCTCTCTGGTCTGTAATTCCTAATGATTCTCTTGACACCAGAGATTGGTTCTATTTGTTTCCCAGGGGAGAAAAATTCTGAGAAATTGGTGCATGAAACTTCATTTGATGTTTTTCTCTATTGCAAAACCAGCACATTATGTTCACGTGTAAAAATTATTAATATGGCTCAGTTAAACAGCATTAGCTGTTTAAACAAGAAGTTGGACTCAGTTACTTTTTTTTTTTTTTTTTAATGGAAGGAACTTCCTATATTCCCTAATGCTTCTCCTTGGCTTTCATCATCGGCTCTGAGGCACACTCTGACGTATGGATATCTGGAGAAGAATTGGAGCGAGGTCTAAAGGGTAGAAATTATCTTTATTCCTTCCTTTGCTCCCCAAATTATTAAACATCTCCATTAGGCTTAATTTTCACAGCCATATCACTATATTCTATGAATATCAACATAAGGAAAGA